TAAAGATCCTTCTAAGGCATTTTGCAGCTACATCCAAAAGTGTTTTTAAATGAAACGTTTTCTTGTAATAGTTGGGGAAAAACAAAAAAAAAAAAGTTTTTTTTTCATTGTTTACTAAAAGCAAATATCTTCTGAAAAATTAAAAAAAATCACAAAAATTTCTGATGGTTGAAAACATGTTGAAAAATGTCTTCTTAGACCGAAAATTAGTGACCTTTTATTTTGTTATAATCTACATGTTTCTTGAATAAGTGGGGTGAGAGATTTGTATCCCAGGTTGGATGTTTTAAGCGAATTGGGCTTCAAATGGACATATTATATAAAAATAAAATTTAGGAAAACACCTAACATTCATGCCATGAATTGATTTTAATCTTTAAGTTTTTTATTTTATTAAATGGATTTAGTGACAGTGAAATTGATACTTAATTAATACCTACTTCTACTTTGTAATAGAAAATTACTTAATTAAGTTATAAAATTGTCTCCAAAGTCCAATATCGACTAAAGGATCACATAAATTTTAATTTAAACTCAAAATCAATCCACAACAAGATTATTCAAAACATGCCCACAAAAAATAATGCCTACGTAACAGTTCCGTCCAACCAACCACAACATTTGAAATTAAAAAAAATAAAAAAGAAAAACTAACCACAATATTTTTAAAAAATAATTAATTTTTAATTAATTAATGCCAAATACATTTTTGGTCCCTGAGGTTTGAGGTAGGGGTGTCTACTTAGTGCATGAAGTTGAACATTTTTGGTCATGTGTCTACTTGGTTAGTTTCAGAATGTACACTTTTGGCCTTGAAATTTAAATTAGGTGTCAACTTAGTTAAGTGTACATTTTTGGTCTTGAAGTTTAAATTAGGTGTCAACTTAGTTAATTTTTAAATTGAATACTTTTGGTCCCTGAAGTTTGAGAAATAGTTCTAAATGATCCTTAACTTTTTTTACTGTTATTAACTAATGACGTGACAAATTGAATTAAATTGTTTATTGTAGTTGGTGATGTGATAAATTATATTAATTAAATAATATATGTCCGGTATGAATAACGTATGGTGGCAGCAAAGACGTGATGGCTGCTGTAAAAGGGTAGGAGAAAGGGTGGAGAAAGGTAGGAGAAAGGGAGAGGGAGAGATGAGGAGAGGAGAGAGAAAATGACATCACCTACACATATATTATTTAATTAATATAATTTGTCGGCAACTATAATAAATAATTTAATTATAATTTGTCACATCATTTTAATATTAGTTAACTAATAGTAAAAAAAATTAGGGATCATTTAGAACTATTTCTCAAATTTCAGGAACAAAAAGTGTTCATTTGAAAACTCCAGGGACCAAGTTGATACCTCATTTAAATCTTAAAGACCAAACATGTTCATTTTGAAACTTTATGGACCAAGTAGACATCTATCTCAAACCTCAGGATCAAAATTGTTCATTTTGAAACTTGAGGGTCCAAATAGACACTTGCCTCAAAACTTTGGGACCAAAAATGTATTTTGTTCTTAAATTTATCAATTATTCATAAAATTTAAAGATTAAAGTTAAAATTAATTTATTGGACCAAACACAATATAATCATTAAAACATGAGATAATGTCTTCGGAGGGCTGTTTTAGAAACTTACTTAAACAAATGTCTAAAATTTTCTAATTTTACACTTTTAGTTTTCTGCCTATAATATTTTATTTTAATTCCGATTATACCCTTATTTATTGCATTTACATTTATTATTGTTATTTGTTTTTTTAAATATAAAAGATTTAATTCCATAAATTATTATCATAATACTTTAATTATCGTGGCCCGATACAAATTTTTAATCCAAATCCCTTAATTCACCCATTCAGAATCTTAATTTACTATTGATTTTCTTGATTTACCAATATTATTAATTACAAAAATATCCAAATCATTATCACCCATTCTGTAATGACCCAACATATGAGCTTCTCACTCTCCAAATACAACCTTCAGATATATTCGGATCTAAACTAAATTCCATATAAATTTCCTAAAATCGTTGTTAGCAACTCACCCTCCAACTACAACCCTTATATATATCATATAAACTAAATTCCATAGGAACTTGCTAAAATCGGATATAAACTAAATTCCATATAAATTTCCTAAAATCACGGAACTAAAATTCATATAAACTTCCTGAAATTACTGTTAGCAACTACTCTCCAACTACAACCCTTAGATATATCCGGATATAAACTAAATTCCATATAAACTTCCTAAAACCACCCTTTTTCTAACGACACCTAAGCAACGACAAACTCGTGACGACGCAACCCACCATAAACGATGATCTGCAGTAGCTTGGCGATGCATTCCCCAGATTCGAACAGTAGCGGTGGCGACATCCCTCCACGGCGGTGTGACTCCCTTGCATTAGCGGCGTCCCTCCACGACGTCGGTTCTGCAGTGGTGACAACACCCATGTTGCAGCAACCTCGTGATTCAAATCTACAGTAAAATAAATTGCAAAAATTCCCAAAAAATCTAGAATTTTTTGGCACGATTCAAATCTTCTCCCTCGATTGACTGAAACTCCTTTGCATGTGATCCTTTGGTAGCTGTTTGCTTTAATCAAAACTTTCAGCACAAAAAAATGTTCCTTATTGTTACCGAGAAAATGCTAGAATCACAACAGACTTCCACCGATTGAATGAAACGTTGGAAAAAAAGTTAAGAAGGTAAAGGGAATTTGAAATCCCTTTATGTTTTTTCGTTAAGGAAGTTATGAGCTGCTATAATTAAGGGATTTCAATTTTGAGATGATTTAGGGATTTCAATCCCGGCAAATTTGATTTTTATTGCTCTAAAATATCAATTTTTCATGATTTGAAATTTTATTTTAATTGTTTATTAAATATGTATTCAAGGCCAACTTGATAAAAAAATCAAAGGGATACCATCCTATTTGAACCAATTTTATGACAAAAGTGTAAAATCTTAATAGTCAAGTCATTTATGTAATTTGATTACTCAAATTATCTATTAGTGTAATTATCCCTTAAAACATGGGATAATAACATAACTAGACGTACCAAATTACTTAAATGTTTAAAAGTTTCAATGTTTACGGATTTGTGCCCGTTCATGATGGATGTGAAAATTATCACGTACTCGTATTTATATATTTTTAATAAATAAATAAAATTCTAAATTATAGACCCCCTAAAGCGGTTTCTCTTTTCAATAAAGAAATAAAACCCTAAACTCTAAACTTTAACTTCTAAAAAAATATATGACAAAAAATTTGAAGAAGAATTGTCGGAAAATTAACTAAAAATAAGTGTATTGATTAATTCTATATTTGTTTAATCATTACCATTGGGTAGGTGGTGGCATAGTGGGCTTGTGTCCGAATGGGGATACCCCCTCCTCAATTAGAGCCATGTGAGGCACGTAATCGTGGCTCCCTCCCCCCAATATTTGGAGATGAATTCTGCAACGTCGATCACAGTATTGGGTAGCGGTTGACAGCCCCCGATTATAAGAATCCAACTGGCGAGCCACACTTCATCAATGATAGTTCAAATTCTCATCACCTTATTTTTTAAATTGTAAATATTTGTCAACTTGAACATAACTCAACTGATTTAGGTATCTATCTCCAATAAAAGATTGTGAGTTCGAATTCCGACCATCACGTGTGGTACTAAAAAAAATTGTAAATATTTATTGAAAAATTATATAAAGTTAAGAATGTTAAAATTTCCTCCAGTGCCTTATTATTTAAAAACGATAAAAATTAGTCACTTAAATTATCTATTCTTTAATTGGTATTTCAAAAATGAAAATGAAAATGAAAATAAAGAAAACGTTATTTTTTCATTATGAAGTAACATAATTAAGTTTTTATTATACAAATAAAAAAAAGTATACTATCAAATTAGAATAGACAACAATTTGGAAAGTATATATTTGAATTCAACTATAAATTTATATTTTAAAATGAATTTTTGTTGCAACTTGAACTTGAACGTAACTCAATTAGTTAAAATATCTATTTCAAATTAAGAGGCCGTGAGTTTGAATTCCCACCTACGCACATATTATACTTAAAAAAAAAAGAATTCTTCTAAATTAACCCATAATCCAATAATTCATACATTCTTTTAAGTGTTATAAATTTGTCATTTTTGGAGACAAACTATAGTTGGGACTTTCTAGCTATTATTCTATGAACAAATAAAGAAATGTGAACAGAAGTTATGCAATTATCCCAAAACTAAAATAAATTTTCCTTTAAATTATTGCAACTTACTAGCAGCTATACTACAACGAGAGAGAAGGATGACATGTTCTCTGATGCTGTATGCTTTAAATTTGTAGAATATACATCGAGCTCAGAAGGAAATGGTACAACAAAAATAGCTTGGAAGATATCTTTTGATATAATATATATTTTGAGGAAAGAGTGATTTCATTAAATAGAAGTGGTAAAAGCCACTGGGCTTCAAGAATTTGGACTTTCGGAGAGTCGTTAAAGTTCAAATTTCGTCACCAAAGATTTTTGAAGACGAAAAAATTTCGTCGTTTAATTTGTTGCTATAGCTCCATTGTGAAAGTTCTATGACGACGACAGTCTAAGCTTGTCGCCACGAAACTGTTTTCGTGTCATAAGTACCTATGGTTTTCGTCGTCATAAATCCTCTACGGCGACGAATTGATTTCGTCGCTAGAAAGAGCCTAGGGTGACGAATCAAATTTTTCGTCCAACAAATGAATTTTTTCACTTTTTTCAGATATGTTAAAATTTGCCGGACATAAACATATGAAGGATTAAATTGAAAAATATAAGTTAAAACTTTTTAAATAATAAGAATTGAATTTAAAAAACTCCCCAACATCAAAGACAAAAAGCATATATTTACCCAACATTTAATAGGTTGCTTATATCAACTACTCCTACGAGACTAAATTGAAAAACAAGTTTTTTGTTATTTTTTTTTTCACCTCAACCTAATATATATTTATTAATGCAAATTCAATCCAACTAAGTCAAAATACCATTTTAATCTCAATATTTTCAACGTAAGAAAACCAAAATTAATTTTCACAGTTTTTAGTTAACTTTTAAATTTAATCTCTATCGACCTTCTCAAAATTTATTAATGTTTTACCGGGACAAAAATGAAGATTAGAGGGAATTTTAAGGATACAACCATTTCAAAAAAAATTAAGGAGCTAAATGAATAAATCACAAAATTTAAATTCAAACTCAAAATTTCACTACTTCACTCCTTGACTTCGAAGTAAACGTAAAAAAACTGATTGATTCTGGACCTAAATTGAATTTCGCTTCGCTCCTACCAATCAACAAACTAACAAAACAGCGGAAATTTCTGAATTGAATTACCTGGTATGGTAGTAGCAGAATCAGAATCGATTTCAATCTCATCAGGCATTCAATGAAAAGTGATTGAATCCAAGTCTAAGGATCAAGAACGATCAATTATAGACGAGAAATCGAATGAGGAAAATTACCGATTGAACTCCTTAACAATCGACCGAATGCTCGGCACGATCGAGAATCAGTTCGTGTAAAACAGTCCTATGGTAGTAGCAGAATCAATTTGAATCTCATCAGGTATTCAATGAAAAGAGATTGAATCCAAGTCCAAGGATCAAGAACGATCAATTATCGACGAGAAATCGGATGAATCAGGAAACTTACCGATTGAACTCCTTAACAATCGATCGAGAATCAATTCTTGGAAAACAGTCCTCCGAATCCTCCTTTCTTCTTCTGCGGCACCGGCACGGAGTTTTTCCGGCCGTCGTTCTTCTCCTCCACTTTCTTCAGGATCGGATCGGTCTCGAGAAGCTGATCCTCTTTCTGTAGTCCTCCTAAAATCCAATCGAGAAGTCCTTTCTCCTCCTTGCTTCCGCCGGCGCCCTTGGCAGCCGTCGCCGCGAAAACTCTTCCGGCGGCCGGAGAGAATGCTACTGCGAGAGAAGCCATAAACGGAAGGCGGTGCGATTTGAGATTGAATGAAATGAATGGAAGAGGCAGAGTGAGGGCAGGGTGTGGAGTTGGATAAATATACGCCAATCGTGAAGATGAATTTGAGCCGTCGGATTGGTTTTGGACTGTGATGATCTGATGGATTCTTTTTTATTTTTTATTTTTATTTTTAATTATAATTTTGATGGAAGTGTTTGTAACACGAGATCTGCGCTCGTGGCTTCTTCTCATTCCATATTTTTCTATAAAATTTAAAATTGTTTGGAAATTTTTATATTTTGACAAATTGGTGTTTACCATTGAAAATATTTATTATATTTTGATATATGAATCTTCCACCTATGAGATTTTTTTCAGAAAAATAATTTTAGTTCGTACCATCATTCTTCTGCAGTTCTAGTCTCAATATATATATATTATATATATATATATATATATTTGTAGTTTTATGTTTGTGGGTTTTAGAAACACTGTATTTCTACACCGTGATTGGAAGTTCTAGTAAAAAAGATTTAACCTAACACAAATAAACCACAAAATAACTATGACTCTCTTAACTTAAGTAAAAATGTCTTGTCATCTAATTATTCATCCACTGTGTTTAGTATACGAAAACTTCCACAGTTTCACTAACTTAAGGTGATTATAAATCCTCTCTAGGCTAACAAGGCGGTGTTAGGATTGTGGAGCTAAAACATGGGAGAAGAACGAGAATGAAAATAGATGAAGGCTTGCTGACCTGAGAGCACGACGTTGAGATGTTGGTTATAATGTCTCTACACTATCCCAAATTAAACTTGATGGAAAAGGAAGCGCGCGAACCTGGTATGTTGATGCTGAAGTGATCATAGCATTGAGATGCTATGGGCAGCATCTCAACGCTATCGTAGGGTTTTAACTTTTTTTGCCTCTTTTCATTTAGGTTTTGAAGTGTGGCAAATTTAGAGAGTGTAACGGCAGTGTGTTGGCAGCAAAGAGGAGATCGAGATCCCAGGTTGTAGTGCATCATCGACGATAGTTTTTCATTCTTCATAAAAACGTATTGCTGTAGTGTTTAGAAGCTAGGTGACATTTGTTGAGACATCTAGAGAGAGTTGTGAGATATTGTATTGCACAATTTACAATCATAGTAGAACCTACACATCGCGAGAGGCTGGACGTAGCACCTGCTTGGGCAAACCAATACAAATTCCTGTGTTAGTTTTATGCTTTCTCATATTTCCTTTATTTCGCATTGATTAAACTGTGACTTACTGATCGTGAAAAGGGAAAAGATATTTTAGGTAAGACTCTGGAACTAGGAAAATTGGCATTGTTGTGCAAGTGTATTTTTCCCAACCGGTGGAAGTTTATAGCCTCTATCTGACTTGTGATTATATTTTGTTTCTATTTTTGAAAATTAAGCTTCCTTTATCAAGATTTCTTCGATTGTTTCAACTTTTTTAAAAAAATGCGTTCGAAGACAAATCTTTTTGATAATTATTTTTTTATATTTTTTAAAATTTTGGTTTACCTATCTAAAAAGTACAGGGAAGAAAATAATAATAATGTTTATAAACTTAATTTAGAAAAACAGAAAACATTACAAATCTTTGGAGATAAAAACCAAAAATTTACAGCATTATTTATAGGTAACGTTTCCAAACATGTAAGCAAAAGAACCAGAGGAAAGTCAATCAATTACAAATTAAAATTTTAAATTAAAATGCAGTAACAATGACTATTGCTATTTATTTTGATTTAAAGGAAAAAAAAAATAACGTTGACCTAGTGGTTAAACGACCGTTGACCAATAAGAGTGAGACAACACAAATCTCGTTGAGTGATACTGTTTGGTTTCTATACATTTGGTTTTTGTTAATGTTTACTTTCAAAACCAATATTTCCGCTCTATTTTCAAAATTTTCATTTTAGTCCCTTCTGTATTTTTGGAACGTTGGTTTTGATCCTTGTATTTTTTTTTTAAAAAAATATTAATTTGGTTTCTTCATTTTCACTTTTATCTCATTTATTTCGATAAAGAATTTAGTACGATATTTTACTCACTAAGTTTCTTGATTTGCTGTCATAAATTGTATTAAATGGTTTCTATTGTGCATAAAATTTATGTTACAGTTTTACAAATAGGACAAAAGATAATCACTTTCTAAAAGTATAGGAACCAAAACGAACGGTTTGAAAGTACAGTGAAATAAAATAAACAAAACTTGAAAGTACAAATATCAAAATAAACATTTTGAAAGTACATAGATCATACTGAACCAAAGCTAAAGAGTTAACCGATCAAAATAGTATTTAACTAATATAATATTATGCTTATTAGTTGTTTTTGGGGGATGCATTGGGGGAGGAAACCCTAATTTTCCAACGGCAGTTAAACCAATATATAACCACCAACCTTCTTGTTGTGGGTAATGAAAGAAATTAAAAGAAAATGTTAGGGCTTGCTTGGCACCCAAACAAAGCCCTTAATTTCCCCTTTTGCTTTCTAGGTGCATCCATTTGCTCTTCTAGTTGGTGAAAAAAAATTGTTTACTTGTTCTATAAGTAACCCTAATCGCAAGAAAGTAATTTACAATAATTTCAATAGTTCTAAATATCCTGTAGACATTTCCATCGACATGTCCAAGTTTTCATGGGTTCGACATAGACGGATAAATCGACATTTCCAATCATAGTACCAAAAAATTCGACAAAATATGAAAAATATCAACAAAATGTCGTTAATATATACATACTATTTGTTTAAATATAATATATATATATATATATATATATATATATTAATTAATTTTAACTTATTTAGAAATAAAAAAAATATTTATTTGTTAATTTAAAAATTTTTTACGATTTTTTAATTTCTCTAACTTTTATAGAAATATCCATCGACATCGCGTTTTATCTATATTTCTATATTTACATCGATATTTTCATGAAATTGAGACCTCGACATTTACATCGACATTGAAACACACCTAGATATATATAAATAAATGCAATGAATTTCATGGATATTTCATTTTTTTAATATATATACCTGAATTGAATAGAAAACTTATATATAATATTGTATGATTTCTTTTAAAAATTATATAATATTGTATGAATTGCCTTTCTTCGTTTAGTTTTATAGTTTTATAATATAGCGGTACTGAAGAAATTTACACAGACTATTTTCAACTTGATTCCAACTACTATTCGTGGTTTTAGTACTAAATATTTTCTTTAGTTCTCGAATTTTTTTTTTAAATTTGATTTTGATTATCCTATTAAATATTCATTTAACATAAACTTGAACGTACCAAATAACAAAGAATTATATTAAATTTTTATGTAAAATATAGAAAATATATACAATTAAAAAAATTTGTTGTGGTTTTAGTACTAAATATTCTCTTTGTTTCTCCAACTTTTAGAAATTTTTTTTTTGATTTTTCCTACTAAATATTCATTTAACATAAACTAAATATTTTAATAACAAAGAATTATCTCAATTTTATGTAAAATAGAGAAAATATATACAACTAAAAATAAAAACATAATATTGGCCCATGCAGGTTTCGAACCTGCGACCTTCGCGTTATTAGCACGACGCTCTAACCAACTGAGCTAATAGGCCAATTTGAAAATAATTTTGCTGTTTGACAATTACATAATATAATTAATTCACGGCTCATTCAGATAAATTGAGAGGGAATGTGTTCAAACCTCGTAATGGCCACCTACCTTAAAATTCATTCATGGCTATCCAATGAGATTAATTGAGGTGTACGCAGGCTAGCTTCGATACTCACGAATATTAAAATAATAACAACAACAATAATAAATCGATTCATAGAAAAGAAGGGAGCCATGGGTCATCCATTTGTAAAAGCATAGCTATAGAATATAAAATTATAATTTTAGAATTTATATGTCAAGTTACAAATTCAGTACCTAAATTTTGATGGTTGTATTTAGTAAATCAAAAAATTATTAAAAAGAATTATGTCTTTAATTTAAATAGTATTGGGATTTAGTATTTCGCTCAAAAAAGACTTTGTTGCGAAGTGTTACTTTACTTTACTTTACTTTACTTTATTTTATTTTATTTTATTTTGTTTTCTTGTCGGCGTTGAATAATTTTCCCACCACCTATGGTCATATCATGCCAAATCAAATAACTTTTGACCAATAAACATATCTCTCACCATCCCATTGATACTACATAGAATCAAAGTTTTAAATTACATTGATGTTCAATTTGAAGTTCCATGATTGGTTTGAGAACGCTTTCGCTCTTTTCCCTAATCAATCGCGAGGATTTCGGGCATGAGAACGCAAGCGCCAAAATCGAACAAAACGTCTGAACGTATGGAAATATTTAATACTTTGCATAGAATCAAAATTTAAAGTAAAAAAATGGGACTAAATTAATACAAACAATATCTAACAATCAGGAACTAACTATATATTTTAGTCACCAATATGAGCATAGTTCAGAGATAATTAACATCTACTCTTTCCCTTGAGGTTATTAAAGGTTTAAATCTTCGTATCTTCAAATTGTTGTACTAAAAAAAACTATATATTACTGTCATTCTCAATGTTTTTTTTTCATTTTTTTTTTCAATTTGATGTATATTTTTTAAAGTTTTAATTTCATTCCTCATCGTTGAAATTCTCCTCCCATCAATTTCATTCTTTATCATTGAAATTCTCTTCTCACATATGTCCTCCCAATATTATGTTTTCTTTTTCTATTTTGAGTTTAATAGTATCGAAGATTTTAAAACTTTAACATTTTAGACACATATATAATGTCTTACTATCGTTAAGCTACATCTGATAAAATGAGTAACTTTTGAATATGTGATATATATATATATATATATATATGAGTAACTTTTGAGTATGTACATACACACGCACATGGACATACACGCACATGGACTTATGTGTGCTATATCTATTTATTCCAACTAAAACATAAGTATTTTATATTCAAAACACATATGTATTTTGATATTACTCATTATTTTACCAATACACTTAATTTAGACAAAAGT